GAACTCCTGATCTCAGGTGATCCACCCACCTCAGCCTCCCAAAGTGCAGGGATTACAGGTATGAGCCACCACACCTAGCCTTAATAGAGTATTTTTAAGAATAATTTTAGATTTACAGAAAAATTCAGCAGATAGTACAGAGAATTTCCATATATACTCCTCAGGCCTAGTTTCCTCCTGTTATTAACATCTTATGTTCGTACAGTATGTTCGTTACAATTAATAAACCAATATTGATACATGTATTATAACTAGAGACTATATATATATATATATATAACCTGTTGCTCAGTCTGGAGTGCAGTGGTGGGGTCTCTGCTCACTGCAACCTGTGCCTCCTGGTTCAGGCAATTCTCCTGCCTCAGCCTTCTGAGTAGCTGGGACTACAGGCGTGTGCTACCATGCCCAGCTAATTTTTGTATTTTTAGTAGAGATGAGTTTTACCATATTGGCCAGGCTGGTCTTGAACTCCTGACTTTGTGATCCACCCGCCTCGGCCTCCCAAAGTGCTGGGATGATAGGCGTGAGCCACTGCGGCTGGCCCATACCATTTTCACCTCTTTTTTTTTTTTTCTGTTCTAGGATTCTACCTAAGATACAATATCACATTTAGCCTCCTTAGTCTTCTCTTAGCTTCCATAGTTTCTTAGACTTCCTTTGTTTTGATGGCCCTGACAGTGTTGAGGAGACCTGTTTAGGCATTTTTTAGACTGCTCCTCTTTTGGTATTTGTGGCTTTACTTTATAAAAACTTTTGCATTGGAACCGAATCATTTTCTGAGTGCAAAATAAATAACAAACAAAAAAACAAAAAACTTTGAGGCCAGGCACGATGGCGGACACCTGTAATTCCAGGTGTCACTTTGGGAGGCCGAAGCGGGCGGATCACTTGAGGCCAGGAGTTTGAGACCAGCTTGGGCAACATGGTGAAACACCATGTCTACTAAAAATAACAAAAATTAGCCAGACGTAGTGGCGCATGCCTGAAATCCCAGCTACTCAGGAGGCTGAGGCAGGAGAATCGCTTGAATCTGGGAGGTGGAGGTTACGGTGAGCCGAGATCGTGCTACCGCGCTGCAACCTGGGCGACAGAGTAAGACTCTGTTTCAAAAGAACAAATCAAAAACACACACATGCACACAAAACCAATTTTGTTTATTGGAAGCTGACTCTAGGTCGGTCATTATGTGAGGCTTTGGGAATACAGTAGTGTATGAAGACTCTTCATAAATAGCACTTAGGAGTCATCGGCATTGACTCCGGGACTCTGGAGAAGCGGTGTGTGCTGGGGATGAGGTTTGAACCCCTGGAACCACTTCTAGAGCCAACACTCTTGACCACTGTGCTGTTTGCTGCTTCCTGTGGGGAAAGGAGGGCGTTCTTCAGGTTCACAGGCACGTCTTGAAAAATCACGAAAAAAAAAAAAAAAAAATCATGCAGGCAAATTATGATCGGGAAGGTAGGACAGGCCTGCAGTAGCTCACACCTGCAATCCCAGCACTTTAGAAGGCTCACACCTGCAATCCCAGCACTTTAGAAGGCTCACACCTGCAATCCCAGCACTTTAGAAGGCTCACACCTGCAATCCCAGCACGTTAAAAGGCTCAAACCTGCAATCCCGACACTTTTAGAGGCTGAGGCAGGTGTTTTACTTGAGCCCAGGAATTCAAGACCAACCTGGGCAACAGATGGTGAGACCCCATCTGTACAAATAATACAGTTAGCCAGGCGTGGTGGTATGTATCTGTCGTCCTGGCTACTGGGGAGGCTGAGGTGGGAGGATCGCTTGAGCTCAGGAGTTTGAGGCTACAGTGAGCTCAGATTGCACCCTTGCACTTCAGCCTGGGTGACATAGTCATACTCTGTCTCTACAAAAAAAAAAAAAAGACAAAGGGAAAAAAAGGAAGTATCTCAATAAGCAGAGTAAAGTTAGAAGTGAGCAGGAGTCGTTTCCAGTGAAGCGGATTAGGGAGGGTGAACTAAAGTAATCTTCCCCTTCATTTGTCTCCTGAGCGCTTCTCCTCTTCCTGCTAAGTGCTTCTGCGTGATTTACTCTGTTCTTAAGTGTCCTGAAAGAATGTTTTTGTACAATTCAACAATTCATGGTCCAAGATCAGAGTGAGCCAGTGGTAGGTCTGTGTGCTTAAACCCATTTTTTTGTGGGGTGTTGTGGATATAGCCAAAAAAAACCCCAAAACCCTATGTGGGTGGTCGTGGGGCAGAATGTGTGGTGCCAGAGTGGGGTCCAGGGGGTCTGTTTTCACAGTCTGTGGCAGCACCAAAGTCCTGTGAGCCTTTCTGAGCCTCGGTCATCTCCTCTATAATTAGCTGTTAAATAATTCTGCTGAGTAGCATCTTATACTTGGATGAGGTTCTGAAGTCCAGCCACACAAGGCCAAAGTCTGCTTGAGTGAGAATTACTTGTTAAGAACCTTCCAACTACTTGCCGAGGAGGCAACACAGTGCCCCATGGGAGATCGCCACGCAGCCTGGCAGTACGTCCAGTGCAGCCCATTTTTCTGCCACCATTTGGCCACTTGACTCCATCCTTGGTCAGAACCGATCAAGCATCTTCTTGTGTTTAGGGCCCAAGTTGCAAAAGACAACATTGACACGTCTCCACACACCAGGATTAGGGTACACGCCACAAGATGACAAAGATGGAGTGTTGGCTCTGTGAAGGTGTCAGGTCTGGTGGTTGGTTTTGCTTTGTTTCCCTGAGTATGTAGTTAAATTTGTGAACATTTGAGGATCAGTAGTGTCACTGCCCAGCTGCCCCCCAGAGTGCTTGGTAGGAATTAAATGAGGTGCAGTAGCCTTCCCCTGTAATCCCAGCACTTTGGTAGGCTGAGGAGGGAGGATTACTTGAGGCTGGGAGTTTGGGGCAAGCTTGGGCAACATGGCATATACCCTGTCTCCACAAAAAAATTTAAAAATTATGGACAGGCCTGGTAGCTCATGCCTATAATCCCAGCACTTTGGGAGGCTGAGGCTGGTGGGTCACTTGAGGCCAGGAGTTGAAGACCAGCCTGGCCAATGTGGCAAAACCCCATCTCTACTAAAACTACAAAAATTAGCCAGGTGTAATGGTGCAAACCTGCTGTCACAGCTACTCAGGAGGCTGAGGCAGGGAAATGGCTTGAACCCAGGAAATAGAAGTTGCTTGAGCTGAGATTGTACTGCTGCAGTCCAGCCTGGGCTACAGAGTAAGACTTTGTCTCAAAAAAAAAAAAAAAAAAAAAAATCTAGCCAGGGAAGGTGCCGTGTGCCTGTGGTCTCAGCTATTCAGGAGACTGAGGCATGAGGATCACTTGAGCCAGGTGGTTGAGGATGTAGTAAGCTATGATTGTACCACCACACTCCAGCCACGGTGACAGAGCAAGACTCTGTCTCAAAAAAAAAAAGGTGTGTGTGAGTCCCTGACGCTCTGGACCAGTGCTTGGTGTCATAAGTGTGATCATGGGTGATACATACGTGGAAGTCACAGGGAAGTATGTGATTTGCTTTGTTAGAAAAATTTGTAGAGGGCAGAGGGGGACAGTGTGTGTTTTGTGGGCCCCAGGGGACTTTAGTGACTTGGTTTCTATTGAATGGGTGGGTGGTGGTGGAGCCATGGGCAGACCTTGACTTTGTGGAGTGTGATCCTTGCTGGAATATGTCTACACTTCAGCCCCCTTCAGAGACCACTCATTCTCCCAGGCTAATGTGGATCCTTTGTTTGGCCACAGAATGTTCTGAAGGAGCATGCAGATGATGACCCTAGTCTGGCCATCACTGGGGTCCCTGTGGTGACTTGGCCAAAGAAGACTCCAAAGGTAAGACGCAGCCTGCTGCAGTGGGAGGCCGTGTCCCACTTCCTTCTCACCTCCTGTAGGGCAAATGTCAGCAGCTTTTTGGGTGGCTGTGGGACCTCCTGAGGTGAGGGCACCCCAGTTAAGGTGAAGGATTTTGGTGATTTGTTCTGTGTTTTGTTTTTAAAGGGGGATTGCTTTACCTAGGTGTGGGAACTACGAACAGTGCCTCCTGGTGGTCACTTGGAGAACTGGGGGGTATTGACAGGCCCCTTTCCCGGTCGCTAGGCGGATTTTCTGTCTCTCCTTCCCTCACTCCCTTGCTGCTTCCCTTCCTTTTTCCTTTTCCTTTAGCTGCTTCATGGCTCTCATCTTCTCTTTTGAAAGGAACTTTTTCTCTGTGTGTAAAACTGATTGATGCTCAACATAAAAATGTCTAATCAGTTGGGCGCGGTGGCTCGCACCATAACCTCAGCACTCTAGGAGGCCGAGGCGGGCAGATCACCTGAGGTCAGGAGTTCAAGACCAGCCTGGCCAACATGGCAAAACCCTGTCTCTATTAAAAATACAAAAATTGCCAGCATGGTGGTGTACGCATTTGGTCCCACCTACTCGGGAGGCTGAGACGGGAGAATTGTTTGAACCTGGGAAATGGAGGTTGCAGTGAGCAGAGATCGCACCACTACGCTCCAGTCTGGGCTACAAAGTGAGACTCTGTCTCAAAAAAATAATAATAAAATATGATAAAAATGTCTAATCAAATGGGAAAGGACAGGACCCAAGGAAGAGGAATAATGGCTGTTATCGAGGATTTCTTAGGAGAAGTTGGCTGTTGTCTGGACCCCTACAGCTCTTATTTATACTTCAACAACTCTGTGGGGTAGACAGCTGTGACTCTTATTTTTCAGATGAGGAAACTGAGGTTTCAAAAGGCAAGTCACTTGTTAGGACAGCAATGTACACAAAGGTCAGTCACTTTGGCAGCAGAGACCAAATTTTTAACCAGTGCTCACCTCAAAGTACATGATCCAGAGAAAACAGCTGTGGTGAGCACGCTTCCAAAGGAGGCCCTGGGTGGGATACATATGCATCAGGTCCTCTCTCTGCCATCCATCTGCCTCCACGCAGCTTCAGCACTTCCTTGGACAAGTTACACAGCATCTTGAGCCTTACTGTCCTTGCTTATAAAAATGGATTATACCAAGACTTTCTTCAGTGGTTGTCAGGACTAAATGAGATAAGGCATGCAAAGCCCTTCAGACAAGGGCCGGCCCCAGGTTATCGCGTTCCAAATATTAGTTGTTACTTTGATAGCTCCAAGAGGTGGCTCACGCCTATAATCCCAGCACTTTGGAAGGCCAAGGTGGGTGGATCACCTGAAGTCAAGAGTTCGAGACCAGCTTGACCAACAAGGTGAAACCCTGTCTCTACTAAAAATACAAAAATTAGGCTGGGCGTGGTGGCTCACGCCTGTAATCCAAGTACTTTAGAGGCCAAGGCGGGCGGATCACCTGAGGTCAGGTGTTCAAGACCAGCCTGACCAACATGGTGAAACCCTGTCTTTATTTAAAAAAAATAAATAAAAAGAAAAAAAATACAAAAATTAGCCAGGAGCGGTGGCAGATGCCTGTAATCCCAGCTACTCAAGAGGCTGAGGCAGGAGAATTGCTTGAACCCTGGAGGTGTAGGTTGCAGTGAGCCGAGATTGCGTCATTGCACTCCAAGCTGGGCAGAATGAGACTCTGTCTCAAAAAACAAACAAACAAAACACTGAAGCCAGGCAGGGTGGCTTATGCCTGTTGTTCCAGCTATTCCAGAAGCTGAGGTGGGAGGATCTCCTGAGCTCAGGAGTTCAAGGTCCACCTGGGCAACATAATGAGACCTCATCCCTACCAAAAAACAAACAAAAAAAAAAACAACAAAAAAAAACCTAGACATGATAGTGCATGCCTGTAGTCCCAGCTATTTGGGAGGCTTACGCAAGAGGAGTGCTTGAGCCCAGGAGCTTGAGGCTGCAATGAGCTGTCATCGCACCACTGAACTCCAGTCTGGGTTACAGAGTGAAGCCCTGTCTCAAAAAAAAGGAAAAAGAAAGAAAAAAGTATGCTGTAGCAGATTTCACTGATTACAGGCCAGAATGGTGACCCTCACCTGTAATCCCAGCACTTTGGGAGGCCAAAGTGGGCAGATTACCTGAGGTCAGGAGTTTGAGATCAGCCTGGCCAACATGGCGAAACCCCGTCTCTACGAAAACTACAAAGATTAGCTGGGTGTGCTGGCACGTGCCTGTAATCCCAGCTATTCTGGAGGCTGAGGCAAGAAAATCGCTTGAACCTGGGAGGTGGAGGTTGCAGTGAACTGAGATCCTGCCACTGCACTACAGCCTGGGGGAAGCACTGTATTTTTATTTGCTAAATCTGGCAACCCTAGTTGAAATGATTATATTTTTGATATATTGTTGAAACAAAATGGGTTATTCAGGTTAATTTTATTGTTTCTTTTTACCTTTTTAGATGTGGCAACAAAAAAACTCAAAAGTACATATGTAGCCTACCTTCTGTTTCTTTTATTTATTTTTTTAAGATAGAGTCTAAAGAGCTCCCAGGCAGGAGTGTAGTGGGGCAATCATAGCTCACTGCAACCTCTGCCTCCCTGGATCAAGCGATCCTCCCCCCTCAGCGCCCCCCCCCAACCCGAGTAGCAGGGACCACAGGCACGTGCCATCATGCTCGGCTACTTTTTCATATTTTTGGTAGAGATGAGGTTTTGTTGCTGGAGCTCAAGCAAGCTGCCTGCCTCAGTCTCCCAAAGTGTTGCGATTACAGGCTTGAGCCACCATGCCTGGCTTCTGTTATTGCTATTGGGCAGTGCTCTTCTGCATGATTGTTAACCTTCTTCAAGTGTATTTCTTTCCTTCTTTCTTTTTTGACAGCAAAAACATTCTCTAAACCGTTTATTTCTCCCCACCAGAAGGTGGAGAGGTGGATGGGCCTAGAACATAGTGTGCCGTGGGTTCCCGGGTTGGGCCAGTGCAGACAGCGTGGCATGGGGCGTCGCAGCTCTTAGGCGAAGGTGGGGTTGTTCCAGCCCTCGTTGGCTGCCTTCGTGTCTTAGTAGTGGATGTAGACCCTGTCCGGGCTGATGCGCAGGCGCTCGGCCAGCAGGCGGCCAGCAGGTTGCTGTAGGAACAGCTCTGCGCGAGGCTGTGCAGGCTGCAGAGCGCGCACGGCTCGCTGGAGCCGCAGAAGGCCCTGAGCTGATCCGGGACCACGTGCACCGTGATACTGGGCGGCTTGCCGGTGGCCTTTGCCAGCTGTTGGGTGAGCTTGGAGAGGAACCCGGCCGGCACGGAGGCGCGGGGGCACGTTGGTGTTTACAATGAACATCGACATGATAGCAGAGGGACCAGGAGACCCACGCAGAGACACAGATGTACGCGCTGCCTCCGCCAGGTGTATTTCTTTTTCTTTTTCTGAGACAGAGTGTTACTCTTGTCATCCAGGATGTAGTACAGTGGCGCGATCTTGGCTCACTGCAACCTCCGCCTCGGGAGTTCAAGTGATTCTCTTGCCTCAGCCTCCTGAATAGCTGAGATTACAGATGCCCAGCACCACGCCCAGCTAATTTTTGTATTTTTCATAGAGAGGGGGTTTCACCATGTTGGCCAGGCTGATCTCCAACTCCTGACCTTAGGTGATCCTCCTGCCTCAGCCTCCCAAGGTGCTGGGATTACAAGTGTGAGCCATCGTGACGGGCCCTTCGGGCGTATTTCTAAACGTTGAATTGCTGCAGAGAAGGGCATCCATTACCATGTGCCTCAGATTCTCTTTCAGTCTTAATGGGAACTTGGGTGGCCAGAGGAGTGAGGACGGAATCTTCTCCCTGTCTTCTACCTTTCCTTCCCTAGTCCGTAGAAGTGTGTGAAGTTTTAAAAATTCTTTTTCTTTTTGAGACAGTCTCACACTGTCACCCAGGCTGTAGTGCAGTGGTGCGATCTCCGCTCACTGCAATCTCCTCCTCCTGGGTGCAAGCAATTCTCCTGCCTCAGCCTCCCGAATAGCTGGAACTACAGGCATGCATCACCATGCCCAGCTAATTTTTTTTTGTACTTTTAGTAGAGACGAGGTTTCACCATGTTGGCCAGGATGGTCTCAATCTCCTGACCTCATGATCTGCCTGCCTTGGCCTCTCAAAGTGCTGGGATTACAGGCATGAGCCAGCGCGCTTGGCCCATGTGTGAGGTTTTAAAGCTGGCTTTCCCCTGCACGTACAGTAAGTACAAGTTTTGTTTATGAGACCACAAACTATTCTTGCAGACATAGCTCCTGCAACAACCCAGCTAGCTCCCTGGACACACTGGGTCTAAAGAAGAAAGTAAGGCTTTCCCAACTGCCGGCTTCCCTCTCAGCTGAGGAATTTCTCCCCAGGAGGCATTAGGGTTCCTAGAGCATGAACGAAATGACCTGGCCACACTACTCAGTTATCTCAAAATTCTTGGAGGGGTTCAATTTAGCCTCTCTGGGGAAGATCACATCAGGCCAACAAATATACCTTGTCTCCCAAGCCTGAGACCCCACCCCATAGCCAGGGAGGCTTATAGAGGCACCTTTTTTTTTTTGGCAGAATCTCGCTCTGTCACCAGGCTGGCGTGCAGTGGCGCAATCTCAGCTCTTGAGATCTCAATCTCTTGACCTTGTGATCTACCCGCCTCGGCTTCCCAAAGTGCTGGAATTATAGGCTTAAGCCACCATGCCCGGCCTGGCATCTTTTAAGAAAAAGTATTTTCTTGGCTGGGTGCAGTGGCTCACACCTGTAATCCTAGCACTTTGGGAGGGCAAGGTGGGTGGATCACAAGGTAAGGAGTTTGAGACCAGCCTGGCTAATATGGTGAAATCCCGTCTCTATTAAAATACAAAAATTAGCCAGGCGGTGGTGGTGGGCGCCTGTAGTCCCAGCTACTCAGGAGGCTGAAGCAGGAGAATTGCTTGAACCCAGGAGGTGGAGGTTGCAGTGAGCCAAGATAG